CCTGCCGGCACAGGCGGCTGTTCTGGGACCAGTCCAGGCACCGCTGGTACAGCTCGTAGCAGATCACGGGCTCTGGCAGAGCCTCCAGGAAGATGAGGAGTGCTTCAGCCACCGAGTGGTTGCTGCCCGCTGCAGCGGTGGGAGTCAAGGGGCATGCCCAGCAGATCCCTCAGCCACCCTCCTCCCCAGCCTGCTCCCCCTCTCCTCCCAGTGCTCCATCTCGGCTTCCTCCTCACAGGTCTGGCAAGTTCTCTGCCTGCTCAAGTGCTCCCTGGCACCAAAGCCCTCCTCTTCCTCCCCCATCCATAGAAAACTATTCCACCCACCCCAAGCTGCCTTCACCCACCCTCTAGCCCCACATAAGTCCCCAGATCACGGTCCCCAGTGCCCACCTTCACCAGCTCTTGGGCTTGGCACAGCCTTCAGAAGCTCCTGGAGCTCTGGCCCCACAGCTGCTCTACTGGCACACGTTCCAAGTGAGGTCATCTCTGGGGGGACAGGGGGGAGGAGAGCCACCCCCCGAGAAGGGACCTTGACATCAAGGAGAGCATCAAGCTCTCCTGAGAGGGACCTCTCCCAGCAGAGCTCCTGGGAACGTCCAGCACAGCAAGGATACGGATTGTCTCAGGGATGCTGGTGTCCAGGCAGTCAATGATCTGCTCCAGCTCCTCCTGCATGCCTGGGGTCTGGAACAGGTCCTCCTGACAAAGACAGCAAAGGGTGGACAAAGTCACCTCCCTCACAAAGCCTGAGGCACAGGGTGACAGGGTCAAAGCTGGTACCCCCAGCCAGCACCTCAGGCCCTGTGCCACCAGCACCAAACTGGAGCTGGTCTCTGGGGGCCAGCACTGAAGCAGGTCACCACGCTCTCCAGCCTCCCTGGCACAGCAGAGCTCCTCTCCCTCACCTGGTGGCAAGCGTGCTTGAACAAGTGGTCCACCAAGAGCCAGATCTCCTTTGGCACCTGCAGTGGCACCCCCCCATCCTCCTCGCCGTCCAGGGAGCCCAGCTGCAGAACGGATTTCTCCTGGTGGCAAAGAGCACACGAGGTCTGAGGGACACCCCACCCCCTGGCAGGGCCTTGGGGAGGAAAGCCCGGGCAGGGGAAGCAGCAGGACCCCGGACACACCCGGCCCTCGCTGGCTCTTCGGG